GTCGCTGGCACAACACCTTCTCCGCCCGTCGCAGGCACCACATCTTCTCCGCCCATCACAGGCTCAACATCAAGGTTTGTTTTTTGGTTTGAAATATTCACTTGCATATTTGTTCCCACGAGTATGGGGGAAGGGTGGGTCCATCCGCACAGTGCCCCCTGTATGCGGATAAGCCTCCACGTAACCCGCTAAGAGTGTCGGCCGGTACTCTTGCGGGGGTAGCAGTAGTGACCGATCTACCCATCGGCCACGCATCCCCTCGCGCTGCTCCGCCACTTGGGATTGGGGTGATTTTTTATAGAGGTTTTCTTCCTCGCAGCCCGGGCGGTTAAGCCGAGGCTATCGGTCCCAGTAACCGGCCGCTAGACATGGCAACGACACCGGGTCCCGGGATTACGATTTGAGAGGGGCGTTGCACGAAGTGCTAGCCGGGCTGCGCAGTTAAGCGCCCGCCAGGCTCGCCCCATCTCCGCGCTTTTCTGTCAGGGTGTGCTCCCTTAGGCCGTGGGGTTAACAAGCCCCTAAAGGCACGCCCATGCCTACTGGTTTTGGTCCGCGCCGGTCAAGACCGGTACCACCAATGTGGTGGCATTCCCCTATCCGCCACCCGGGGGACGCGCCCAGTAGCAGTCCAGCAACTGCCCTGAGTTTTTCGCCAAACCTAACCCAAACCAAAAAAAAAACAATATATATATAATCGATCGTCGTTGTGTAAATTGATATACATGAAGTAATATTATCTAATAACTCATTGGAATATTTTTCGCCAAACCTAACCCAAACCAAAAAAAAAAACAATATATATATAATCGATCGTCGTTGTGTAAATTGATATACATGAAGTTATAATATCTAATAACTCATTGGAATATTTTTCGCCAAACCTAACCCAAACCAAAAAAAAAAAAACAATATATATATAATCGATCGTCGTTGTGTAAATTGATATACATGAAGTAATAATATCTAATAACTCATTGGAATATTTTTCGCCAAACCTAACCCAAACCAAAAAAAAAACAATATATATATAATCGATCGTCGTTGTGTAAATTGATATACATGAAGTAATAATATCTAATAACTCATTGAAATATTTTTCGCCAAACCTAACCCAAACCAAAAAAAAAAACAATATATATATAATCGATCATCGTTGTGTAAATTGATATACATGAAGTAATAATATCTAATAACTCATTGGAATATTTTTCGCCAAACCTAACCCAAACCAAAAAAAAAACAATATATATATAATCGATCGTCGTTGTGTAAATTGATATACATGAAGTAATAATATCTAATAACTCATTGGAATATTTTTCGCCAAACCTAACCCAAACCAAAAAAAAAAACAATATATATATAATCGATCGTCGTTGTGTAAATTGATATACATGAAGTAATAATATCTAATAACTCATTGGAATATTTTTCGCCAAACCTAACCCAAACCTAACCAAAACTAACGCAACTGGCCCCAAACTCACCCCTGCACATCGAATTGCAAGATTACTTTTTGCCCAAGATCACGTAAATTGGAATTTGGAGCAGTGGAAGAAGGTTCTTATTACTGACGAAAGCAGAATGTTTTTGCATGGTTCCGACGGCCGTAATTTTGTTTACCGGCGATCAGGTAATTACCATTCTAGAGGAATCAATAATTTTTTAAGCTATTGCATAGCTTCTATCGCGGGCCTTGAGCGTGGGGACCGAATCCAGAAATTCCGTAACGAAAAAAACCTAACACCCCCCACTCAGATTTGACATCTGACATCTGACGTTTCTGACGATCTGACAAAAAAAAAACAAACAAAAAAAAAAAAAAAACAATATATATATAATCGATCGTCGTTGTGTAAATTGATATACATGAAGTAATAATATCTAATAACTCATTGGAATATTTTTCGCCAAACCTAACCCAAACCTAACCAAAACTAACGCAACTGGCCCCAAACTCACCCCTGCACATCGAATTGCAAGATTACTTTTTGCCCGAGATCACGTGAATTGGAATTTGGAGCAGTGGAAGAAGGTTCTTATTACTGACGAAAGCAGAATGTTTTTGCATGGTTCCGACGGCCGTAATTTTGTTTACCGGCGATCAGGTAATTACCATTCTAGAGGAATCAATAATTTTTTAAGCTATTGCATGTTATTTTTATCAAAATAAGTTTTTAATGTATATTGGCCGTCTTAAAAATAAAAGTAATAAATGTCACTCGTAGAAAAAGTCTAACTGCGTTTCAATAGGTTATGGGCCCAGTCCTATATTTTAACAAAAATAAATAGTAAAATGTTAGAATTATTTTGTAAAATGTAATCGGGTAGCTATATTATTAATGTACCTAAACTTAAAGGGCGAGAAAATTACGATGATTGGGCTTTGCGGTGAAATTTTTTTTTGTACTAGAAGGTATTGATCTCGACAAGCCGTCGGGAGAATCGAGTACTGAAGATGATAAAAAAGCGCAAAAACAAAAAAACCATTTGTCTAGAAGTTTTTTAAATGTTATCGATAAGATTGGTATGTGGACTCGGGAGTGAGTGCCCATATGATTGTTAACAAAAGTAAATTATTACGCGTTGAAGAAGTATGTATGTCATAAGAAAGAAATACTTCAGAATCAAACGTCTGTGCCGGTTTTATGTGGTGTTGTAGGTCATACACAGTTTACCACAGTATAAACAATTCTCAGTTTGTTATGTGGTGTTGTAGGTCATACACAGATTACCACAGTATAAATAATTCTCAGTTTGACATCAAGGTAAAAGATATTCTTTGCATACCTAGCTTAGCGACAATCATCAGTCAGCCAGTTGATAGCAAAAGGGAATGAGGTAACATTTGAGATGAATGTTTGTCATATCTTTAATCAACAGACCGAGATGATTGGAGTAGCGGATTTAATAAATGGTGTGTATAAGTTGAATATTGTGAAGTCAGAGAATGGATTAGTTGCGGCAGTTCAGACGGCTGATGCTAAACTATGGCATAGAAGGCTGGGCCATATTAATTGTAAAGACTTACAAAAATGAAAGATGGTGCTGTACAGGGTGGATTTTATGACGGTAAGGCTGATATTCGAAAATCCAACTGCGAAATATGTTGTGAGGGGAAACAGTCTCGTCTATCTTTTCCATTGAAAGGTCATAGAAGTAATAAATTGCTAGATTTGATACATTCGGATGTATGCAGGCCGATGGAAACCTGCTCGATTGGTCAAGCAAGATATTTTCTTCTTTTCATTGATGACGCAAGTCGAATGACCTTTGTATATAAGGAAAATACCCAGGTATTACAGCTTTTAAGGAATTTCAGAGATTAGTTGAGAATTCAACGGAAGTTATGATTAATCTATTGATAGGATTTTACTGGTCATGTAAATTTAACTATTATTTTATATAATGACAATCAGAGTGCAAAAAAATTGACTGAAAATTCAATGTTCCATAAAAGAAGTAAGCATATAGATATAAGGTACCATTTTGTCAGAGATGCTGTTTCAAATAATATTATTAAAATTATTTATTTAGAAACGTCAAATATGCCAGCAGATATTTTGACAAAATGTTTAAATTCAGCTAAACATGTTAAGTTTTTAGATTGTTTAGGTGTTATATGTATACTTCATTGAATTTTTGGGTTAGTTTGTTTTATTTTTAAATGTTAGATTATTTTGATAAAGGGAGTGTGTTATTTTTTATCAAAATAAGTTTTTAATGTATATTGGCCGTCTTAAAAATAAAAGTAATAAATGTCACTCGTAGAAAAAGTCTAACTGCGTTTCAATATTGCATAGCTTCTATCGCGGGCCTTGAGCGTGGGGACCGAATCCAGAAATTCCGTAACGAAGAAAACCTAACACCCCCCACTCAGATTTGACATCTGACATCTGACGTTTCTGACGATCTGACAAAAAACAAACAAACAAAATACAAAAAAAAAACAATATATATATAATCGATCGTCGTTGTGTAAATTCATATACATGAAGTAATAATATCTAATAACTCATTGGAATATTTTTCGCCAAACCTAACCCAAACCAAAAAAATAAAATATATATATATAATCGATCGTCGTTGTCTAAATTGATATACATGAAGTAATAATATCTAATAACTCATTGGAATATTTTTCGCCAAACCTAACCCAAACCAAAAAAAAAAACAATATATATATAATCGATGGTCGTTGTGTAAATTGATATACATGAAGTAATAATATCTAATAACTCATTGGAATATTTTTCGCCAAACCTAACCCAAACCAAAAAAAAAAAACAATATATATATAATCGATCGTCGTTGTGTAAATTGATATACATGAAGTAATAATATCTTATAACTCATTGGAATATTTTTCGCCAAACCTAACCCAAGCCAAAAAAAAAACAATATATATATAATCGATCGTCGTTGTGTAAATTGATATACATGAAGTAATAATATCTAATAACTCATTGGGATTGCATATATAAAATTTTTAGAAATGTCTCTCAATTCGCTTATAATTGCATTGTTGTTACTAAATTAAGTAGTTTTAGTTGTATATCTTCTTATTTCTATAGTCTAAGTATAATTAAGAATTCAATTAAAAAATTTCATTTATAGATTATAATTACGTTAAAAAAATATTTTTGTCTAAATTTCGTCTAAAATTGTTTTAAATACATTGTAATTACGTATAATATACCTCCCCATAGTTTATTTCCCCGATTTACACCGGGAAATCGAAAAAAAAGGCCCCCCCACCCCTCCTTTTTTTTCATTTACTATATAGATTTTAGTGACCTTGGGGATTTAAATTGATTTCATTTTGCTTTTGAAGGGTTTTTTGCGGAATTTTCTTTTACAATCGGTGTTTGCGGGAATAGACAAGCAGATTAAAATCATAAAACCTACAGAATTTTCACACGTAAAAACTTTTACCTAACTCCTTTTAGAATCTAAGTATTCGGAATTTTATTTTAGAATCCTACTGCGTAAGCAACATGTTTGTAATTAGGACACCCACAAAAGCCCCCAAGAGGGCTCAAAGCACAAGCCCCGACTCGAACAGGGAAGTGACCGCCGAGCTAAACGTGACTTATGAAGCGAAACCTTCAACCCCACCGACGGAAGCCTATGTGATCGCTTTAAATAGCAACATAGAAACGGCCGATCCGATAGACATCACTGGATTTACGACGGAGGTGCCTGCTGAGACAGGAACAAAGCCTCAACCAATTCGACTCAAATTTATGACTACACAGAGTCGCGCCGCACCAGCAAAGAAGAAGTTGACAAAAGCGCACTCTTCGCAATCGAACTCAGGGTTAACAGAAGTGGCATCAGCGGATAGAGAGAAGACCTCAAAGTCTCAGGAAACTTTAAATAATCCAATGGAACAAACAAAGATCATAGAAAGAATTCTAGCTGAAACTAAATACCATGTGGACAACATTCGTACTAACCTAAATCAATCTGGAAATATAAAAAGCACAATAAAGGAGGAAATACAAAAAAGTACTAAAGGTCTATATAACATGGTGCTGCAGAGCATTAAGATCAATACAGGAGAAGCAGTAGACTACAATTTGGAAATAGATATGCAAAAACCAGAATCGAACGAACACAAACTTAACGAATTATTAGAATATATTAAAACACAGACCACCACATTGGAAAGAACACAACAGGAAATTTTGAGCCTGAGAGGAGAAATGAAAGAGCTTAAGACTAGAAAGACCGACGAAACAAGTAACAAAATACAAGAACCAAAATCGCAAAGAATAGAACAAACTGGGGAAGATCTTCGTAGAGAATTGAAGGAACATAGCGAACTTTTAAGAAACAGCTTTACTAGAATTGAAATGTTAAGTGACAAGATTGATAACCACCAGAAAGTGCTTGAAGGCACTACGTACGCGAGTGTGGCAGCGGGTCGGACAGCGAGGAATCCCCTGCAAACGACAACGCTCCACTCGGTGATTGTCACCTCTACGAACGAAACGGACACTGGCGATGAAGTTATCCAGAAATTTAAAGATGCTGTTAAAGACGAAGAAGGCTGGATAACAGTTGACAAGATTCGGAAAGCAAAGGACAGGAAGGTGATAATTGGATGTAGGAGCAAGGAAGAAATCAAAAAAGTAGCGGAAAGAATTAAAAAGGGTAGCAACCAATTGAACGTAGAGGACATCAAAAATAAGGATCCTCTAGTGGTCTTATACGGAGTCATGCAGTCCTATTCGGACGATGACCTCGTTAAAGCCATTAGAGCGCAAAATCGCCATCTCCTGGGAGACATAAAGCAAGAAGAAGATCGCATGGAGATACGGTTCAGGAGAAGAGCGAGGAACCCCTTAACTGCTCATGTAGTACTCAGGGTCTCACCCATAATTTGGCAGAGAATGACCGAAGCGGGTGTTGTACACGTGGAAATATGGAGGATAAGAGTGGCCGACCAGTGCCCCCTGATACAGTGCTCGCGCTGCCTAGGGTATGGACATGGCCGGAAATTCTGTACAGAAGAAGCCGATGTGTGCAGCCACTGTGCTGGACCGCACCTTAAAACTGATTGCCCAGATCTCTCAATCAAATTGACGCCCAAATGTACAAATTGCGAAAAAGCAAAAAATCACAGTGTAGACCATAACGCATTCAGTTCCGAGTGTCCGGTGCGTAGAAAATGGGAGGCCTTAGCCAGGTCTTCCATAGCGTATTGCTAAGGTTGTCCCGGGGTATACAATAGTGCAAGGATATCTCCAGAGAAAGAAACTCACTACGATAGAGTTGCTGACTAAATCCCGCAAACAAGGAATTTCTATCGCATTGCTTCAGGAGCCGTATGTGGGAAACGCTCGAGGTATGAGGAGCTACCGGGGTACAAGGATATATCAGAGTATTCACCAGGGAGAAGGCACAGTCAAGGCCGCTATAGTGGTCTTCGACTCGAATATTAAGGTTACGCAGTACCCGCAATTTACTACAGACAATGTGGTAGTTGTGGGAATTCGAGATGCTGACACAACAATTACCCTGGTGTCCTATTACTTCGAGCCGAATTTACCCATAGAGCCATACCTAGAGCATATAGAAAAAGTAGTCAAAGAAATGGGTCATAATAAAATGGTCATAGGTGGGGACGCTAACGCAAAGAGTAGCTGGTGGGGAAGTATAACTGATGACAATAGGGGCGCTGAAATTGTTTCAGCTCTCGACGATATGGGGCTCCATGTGCTGAATGTTGGGAACACTCCAACTTTCGACACAATAAGAGGAGGGATAAGATATAGCAGCCATGTCGATGTAACGGCCTGTACTTCGAACATGATTAACAGGATACAAGAATGGAGAGTAGATGAAAACCTCACGGGCTCGGACCATAACGGGATTGTATTTAAGATAGAAGGGAAAAAATCAACGACTAATAACATTATAAGAACCACTAGAAAATACAACACTCGCAAGGCAAATTGGCCTCAGTTTCATGAGAAACTGAACCAATTTAACATGGAACAAAAATTAACAATAGCTGAAATAAATAACATTAACAGTAAAGGTGAAATAGAGTCAATAGTAGAAAAATACACAAAATCAATAGAACAAGCATGCAATCATTCAATACCTAAAAAGAAAAATACTGAGAAACTTACCATCCCGTGGTGGTCCGACGAGCTCGAAGAGATGAAACGGAAGACCTCCACACTGAAGAACAGGATCCGCTGTGCAGCACCAGTTCGTAGAGCGAAAGTAGTCGATGAGTACCTGAAACAGAAAGAAAAATATGAAACACCAGCAAAAGCGGCCGAAGTCGGGAGCTGGAAGGAATTTTGTGGGAAGCAGGATAAGGAAGGAGTGTGGCAAGGAATATACAGAGTGATCGGCAGAGTTACTAAACGAGAAGAAGATCTCCCATTGCAACATGAAGGAAAGCTTTTGGACGCGAAGGGTTCTGTCAAGTTGTTGGCCGAAACTTTCTATCCAGAAGACCTTATTTCAAATGATAATGCAGATCACAGTAATATTAGAGAAATGGCAGCAACAATAAACGATGGACACCAAAGTGATACCTGGGATCCACCGTTCACACAAGCGGAGCTCTCGATGGCTGTAAATACATTTAACGCGAAAAAGGCCCCCGGAGGTGACGGCTTAACGCCCGACATTTGTAAACAAGCAATTGAAAATGACCCAGAACTCTTCCTAGCAATAACAAATAAATGCCTGAAACATAGTCATTTTCCAAAACCATGGAAAGAAGCCACGGTAGTTATTCTCAGGAAACCGGGAAAGACCAATTACACCGAACCGAAATCATATCGACCGATCGGTCTACTACCTGTGCTAGGGAAAATTTACGAAAAAATGATAGTTGCCAGATTAAAATACCATCTCGTGCCAAGGATTAGTACTCGCCAATATGGATTCATGCCCCAGAAGAGCACCGAAGACTCCCTCTATACTCTTATGCAGCATATACATGCTAAAATAAAACAGAAACGCATAATAACTTTAGTTTCACTAGATATAGAGGGAGCCTTCGACAGCGCATGGTGGCCGGCCATAAGAGTCCGATTGGCTGAGGAAAGATGTCCCATTAACCTGCGAAGAGTAGTGGATAGTTATTTGGAAGATAGGAAGGTGAAAGTTAAATACGCCGGTGAAGAATATGATAGGGGAACCACTAAGGGATGTGTACAAGGCTCCATAGGTGGCCCCTTATTGTGGAATCTTTTGCTTGACCCACTATTGCATGAACTGGAAAAGAAGGGTCACTACTGCCAGGCGTTCTCGGACGACGTCGTACTGGCGTTCGACGGACAGACAGCCCTAGAAATAGAAGAACGAGCCAATGCCGCACTCCAACATGTTCAAGAGTGGGGTGTCATAAATAAATTAAAATTCGCAGCGCATAAAACTACCGCAATAACAATTACCCGTAAACTAAAATATGACACACCACGCCTGAACATGGGGGGGATCGACATTGGCATGTCCGATGAAATGAAGATTCTAGGACTGATTATCGATGCAAAACTGACCTTTAGCTCCCACGTCAGTTATATCTGCCGGAAAGCTTTAAATCTTTATAAACAATTGTCTCGTGCTGCCAAACTCCAGTGGGGTCTGCAGCCCGAGATAATTCGCACTATTTACTCAGCCGTGGTCGAGCCGACAATACTTTATGCCGCGAGTGCTTGGGCATCGGCAACAGAAAAATTGGGAATAAGGAAGCGTCTGGATGTTGTGCAGAGAGGCTTCGCTCAAAAGATTGTCAAGGCATACAGAACAGTATCCCTAAATTCAGCCCTTCTGCTCGCGGGCCTGCTTCCTCTCGACATAAGAGTCAGGGAAGCAGCCTCGCTTTATATTATAAAGAGAGGTTATTCCACGAGAATAGTAGGCGATAGGGAAATCGAGACGCAGATGCCCTTCGGAAGCTGTAATCACCCGGTGGAATATGAAGAATTACAGTTCACATGCCTGGGGGACGAGGCAGAACTGAACCAATACAACACCACAGGCCTAAATATCTATACAGATGGCAGTAAGTTGGAGGGGAAAGTAGGCGCGGCATTGTCTCTGTGGGAAAATGGCACGGAAATAAGTACCCGAAAACTTAAATTGGATCGGTACTGCACCGTCTACCAGGCAGAACTTCTAGCGCTAAAGGAAGCCACTGAACAGGCAATAAAGAGAGGCGCCGAAGAAACTAATGTGTACTGCGATTCCCTATCGGCCTTAGAAACTGTAAAAAACACCACATCCCTACATCCTCTGGCCGTAGAAACAAGGACAAATATCAAGAGAATAACGGAGGGAGGAGGACGGCTCCGTCTTTTTTGGATTAAGGCCCACGCAGGGATAGAAGGAAATGAGCGCGCCGATATTATGGCAAAAGCGGCAACGAACCTCAAAACTAAATCTAATTATAGCAAATGCCCAGTCTCATTCGTCAAGCGACAAATCCGATTGGAGTCGCTTGACGAATGGAACCAGAGGTATAAAAGTGGTGAAACAGCGGCCACCACCAAAGTATTTTTCCCGGATGCAATAACCGCCTACCCAATATTAAAAGAAATAAAAACGGACCCGTTGATAACCCAATTGATGACCGGACACGGCGGGTTCTCCTTTTACTTGAATAGATTCAAGTGCAAGGACAGCCCGTCGTGCGACTGCGACCCGGATGTGGACCAAACTTCTTTACACATAATAACTAGCTGCCCCAAGTACCTGAGAGAGAGACTAAATTTGGAGTTAGAAATAAATTATGATGTAAAGGAGGAAAACTTGAATAAAATATTACAGGACAATACAATTAGAGATAAGTTTTTGGAATATTGTAAAAAATTAGTAAAAATAACAGTAAATCAAAATAAATAGAATACAAAATGTTTAGTTTAGTTGATTGATTAGTTTTATTATTAAAAAAAAAAAAAAAAAAATAAAAAAAAAAAAAAATCATTTTGAGAATTATAAGTAATAGTCGATAAGAGTTATTAGTTCATAAGAGCTATTAGTTGTAAGTTGATATGATTAAAGAAAATTTAAGTATAATATTTTTTAAGTAATATAAAATGTAAAGAAATACATTTATATCCTGGCACAAAATACAAGCCAATAAAGATGATATGTAAACAAAGTCTCTGATTATGTCAGAGGTATTCGAACAGAAAAAAAAAAAAAAAAAAAAAAAAGAATAACTCATTGGAATATTTTTCGCCAAACCTAACCCAAACCAAAAAAATATATATATATATAATCGATCGTCGTTGTGTAAATTGATATACATGAAGTAATAATATCTAATAACTCATTGGAATATTTTTCGCCAAACCTAACCCAAACCAAAAAAAAAACAATAAATACATAATCGATCGTCGTTGTGTAAATTGATATACATGAAGTAATAATATCTAATAACTCATTGAAAT